AAAAATATTAAACATTAATGTTTTTTAAAAAATGCCCAACATGTAAAGAATGTTTTTAAAAAAAATCAGAAAAAAATAAAAAATAATGATTTTTACTTAACAAAAAATACTAAAAATTAAACATTAATGTTCAAAAAAAAAATGCCCAACATGTAAAAACTATAATAAAAAAAATAAAAAATTTCTAGTCCAGCAGACTATTTTTCTAATACCAAGTCTTAGAAGTCTATCCGAATCTCCTCCCCAAGGGGATTCATAATCCGAAACTCTATCAATCTACTCCTCATCTCTCAAAACAAACACAATGTTGATGGATCCCACCTCACCACCAATCTCAATCCCCCTTCTAACTCTCCAAACACACAGAACCTAAGGAAAAGGAAAAAGTAACAAAAAAAAATTATTTCAAACTAGTCTAGAACTTGAACGTAGTTAGATTTCCATATATCTATCAAACTATTTTTTTCAAATTTTTTTTTTTATACAAAATCACGTGACTTTTTGTTTTGGTAGTCTCTTCCTTTTAAATTCAAACATTTATAAGTAAAAAAAAAATGCCCAACATGTAAAAACTAAAATAAAATAAAAAAAAAAATTTCTAGTCCAGCAGACTATTTTTCTAATACCAAGTCTTGAAGGTCTATCCGAATCTCCTTCTCAAGGGGATTCATAATCCAGAACTCACTATCAATCTAATCCTCATCTCTCAAAACAAACACAATGTTGATGGATCCCACCTCACCACCAATCTCAATCCCCCTTCTAACTCTCCAAACAAACAGGGCCTAAGGAAAAGGAAAAAGTAACAAAAAAAAATTATTTCAAACTAGTCTAGAACTTGAACATAGTTAGATTTCCATATATCTATCAAACTATTTTTTTCAATTTTTTTTTTTATACAAAATCACGTGACTTTTTGTTTTGGTAGTCTCTTCCTTTTAAATTCAAACATTTATAAGTTATAAGCATATGACTAATATTTTTATAAATAACATATTTTGATAAAAATATAGCTTAAAATTGTCATCATTTATTTATGTTTTAAGTAAAAATTATAGGTATAAGTATAATTAATAATATCATTTTATCGATATGTGAAAAAATTAATATTTTTTAATAAATATTGCTTGAAATGTTCAACATGGTAAATTTATTGTTTTTATAGTTGTAGCTTGTAAGTATGTCATCATAGCTTTGAGTTAAGTTTTATGACTTCATCCAAAGTTCATGACAATCAAAATCCTTTATATATTAGAAGAAAAAAAAATGTTAAAAATATAAAGCGAGTCATCCTTTCGTTTTATTCATTAAAAAAAAAAAAAATTACTGCTAATTAATAACTAAGTCAAACATACCTACTATTACAAAAGATTGGTTTGACGCATTTAAAAATAAGCATTACAAAAAATTTGATTTTTTACGATGATAAAATGCCGTTGTAAATACTCAAAATGTCGTCTCAAAATTTTTTTTATGACGGTAGATGACTTTTAGCGACGACAAGTGGAGGGTTGCAACAAAAGGCGTTGCTAAAAGGTTTTAACAACGGCACATTGCCGTCGCCTTTTTTTTGAGACGGCAAAGTTGCCTTTTTGCGACGGAATTCTGCCGTGGCCAATAATATGTAAAAATCTAAGATTTTTTGAGACAACACTATGTTGTCGTCACTAAAAGTGTTATTTGCGACGTCATTAGTGTTTTATTGCAACGAGTAACCTACCATTGCTAAAAGTTTATTTGAAACAGCACGATAACACCATCTCTAAAAGATTATTTGCGACAGCAAATAATACTGTCCCAAAAGATTTTTTTCAACTGTTGCCAATTTCTTTTGAGACGGTGTGGTGCCGTCTCAAAAAAAAAAAAAAAAAAACTGCAATAAAATTATTAAAAATATGAAAATTACCTGTATTAAATGAAAAATAACTGAAAAATAAACCGATAATTACATAATAATATAAAAATAACAATATAAAAATAACAATTCATCCATCATAAAAATATTCTTCCATTCATAACAATACATCAGAAAAATTATCTCACTACATAATATTGCATAATACATATACAATGTTTAAATACATAATGTTGTTCACAATTCAAAATAACGTAAATCAAAAACAAAAGTTTTTGTCATGATTCTTCGTGGATAACAAAAACAAAAGTTAATCGCAATCTTCACACGCCTCCATTCCACAAAAAGCAAACTCCTACTGGGGACATATCTGAAAACAAAATAAAAATAATTAATGACAATATAATTATGTGTTAATATTTTAATTACAAAAAAACATAAAAATTAACTACTATATAATTACAAAGATAATTAAGTAAATAATTTTGGCTAGACTGAAATCAGGAACCCGAATCGAGCCCTGTCTTCTCCCACAAGTCTCTCATACCTAGATAATCGTGTGTGCCAAGTTTCGTGCTAATCCGACCCCGTTTGGTGATTTTTGGGCATCAACACCTCGAATTCAAATTTCTTAAGGAACTAGTTTACCTAGAGTGAAATATTGCTCTAACTCCCAAATCGGGAACTCGATTGGAGTCCATCTTCTCTCACAAGTTTCTCGTGCCTAGGCGGTCGTGTGCGCCAAGTTTCGCGCTAATCCGACCCCGTTTGGTATTTTGGGGCGTCAACACCTCAAATTCAAGTTTCTTAAGGAACTAGTTTGCCTAGAGTAAAATCCGGCTCTAACACCCAAACCGGGAACCTGATTGGAGTCCCGTCTTCTCTCACAAGTTTCTCATGCCTAGGCGGTCGTGTGCGTCAAGTTTCGCGCTAATCCGACCCCGTTTGGTATTTTGGGGTGTCAACACTTCGAATTCAAGTTTCTTAAGGAACTAATTTGCCTAGAGTGAAATCCGGCTCGAACTCCCAAACCGGGAACCCGATTGGAGTTTTGTCTTCTCCCACAACTCTCTCGTGCCTAGACAGTCGTGTGTGCCAAGTTTCGTGCTAATTCGACCCCGTTTGGTGATTTTGGGACATTAACACCTCGAATTCAAGTTTCTTAAGGAACTAGTTTGCTTAGAGTGAAATCCGGCTCTAACCCCTAAACCGGGAACCCGATTGGGGTCCCGTCTTCTCCTACAAGTTTCTTGTGCCTAGGTGGTCGTGTGTGCCAAGTTTCGTGCCAAACCGACGCCGTTTGGTGATTTGGGGGCATCAACAACTCAAATTCAAGTTTTTTAAAGAACTACTTTGCCTAGAGTGAAATCCGGCTCTAACTCCCAAACCAGGAACCCGATTGGAGTTCTGTCTTCTCCCACAAGTCTCTCGTGCCTAGGCGGTCGTGTGTGCCAAGTTTCGTGCCAAACCGACGCCGTTTGGTGATTTTGGGGCATCAACACCTCAAATTCAAATTTCTTAAGGAGCTATTTCGCTTATACCAAAATCCGGCTCTAACTCCCAAATCAAGAACCCGATTCGAGCCCCGTCTTCTCCTACAAGTCTCTCGTGCCTAGGCGGTCGTGTGTGCAAATTTTGTGCCAATCCAACCACGTTTGGTGATTTTGGGGCGTCAACCCATCGAATTCAAGTTTCTTAAGAAACTAATTTTCCTAGAGTGAAATCCAGCTCTAACTCACAAACCGGAAACCCGATTAGAGTCTCGTCTTCTCCCACAAGTCTTTCGTGCCTAGGCGGTCGTGTGTGTCAAGTTTCATGCCAAACTGACACCGTTTGGCGATTTTAGGGCGTCAATACCTCGAATTCAAATTTCTTAAAGAACTAGTTTGCCTAGATCGAAATCTAGCTCTAACTCCCAAATCGGGAACCCGATTCGAGCCCCGTCTTCTTCCATAACTCTCTCGTGCCTAAGCGATCATGTGTGCCAAGTTTCGTGCTAATCCGACCCCGTTTGGTGATTTTGGAGCGTCAACACCTCGAATTCAAGTTTCTTAAGGAACTAGTTTGACTAGAGTGAAATCCGACTCTAACTCCTAAACCGAGAACCCGATTGGAGTCTCGTCTTCTCCTACAAATTTCTCGTACCTAGGCGGTCGTGTGTGCCAAGTTTCATGCCAAACCGACGCCGTTTGGGGATTTTGGGACGTCAACAACTCGAATTCAAATTTCTTAAGGAACTCCTTTGCCTAGAGTGAAATCCGGCTCTAACTCCCAAATCGGGAACCCGATTGGAGTCTCGTCTCCTCCCACAAGTCTCTCATGTCTAGGCGGTCATGTGTGCCAAGTTTCGTGCCAAATCGACGCCGTTTGGTGATTTTGGGCATCAACACCTCGAATTCAAATTTCTTAAGGAACTAGTTTGCCTAGACCGAAATCTGGCTCTAACTCCCAAACCGGGAACCCGATTCGAGCCACGTCTTCTCTCACAAGTCTCTCGTGCCTAGGCAGTCGTGTGTGCCAAGTTTCGTGCCAATCCGACTGTTTGGTGATTTTGGGATGTCAACACCTCGAATTCAAGTTTCTTAAGGAACTAGTTTGTTTAGAGTGAAATCTGGCTCTAACTCACAAACCGAGAACCCGATTGGAACCCCGTCTTCTCCCACAAGTCTCTCGTGCCTAGGCGGTCGTGTATGCCAAGTTTCGTGCTAATCCGACCCCGTTTGGTGATTTTGGGGCGTCAACAACTCGAATTCAAGTTTATTAAGGAACTAGTTTGCCTAGAGTGAAATCTGGCTCTAAATCCTAAACCAGCAACCCGATTGGAGTCTCGTCCTCTCCCACAAGTTTCTCAGGCCTAGGCGGTCGTGTGTACCAAGTTTCGTGCCAAACTAATGCTGTTTGGTGATTTTGGGGCATCAACACCTCGAATTCAAGTTTCTTAAGGAACTATTTTGCCTAGAGTGAAATCCGACTTTAACTCCCAAATCGGGAACCCGATTGGAGTCCGATCTTCTCCCAAAAGTTCAATACTAAACTAATGTATTATTAGCTCAATGAAAAAGAAAAAAATTAACTAAAACACCAAGGTACAGTAGAAAAAAATATTATCATGATGAAAAACATGCAATTAACAAGTAGGGAGCTGTACCTTGAAAGTTAATATGCTCATTAATAACCCCAACCATTGTAATGGATTGTGTCTTGTATAAATATTGCAACATAAGCTCATAAGAATATTGGAGGGAAAAGTGGGACAAAAATGACATTTAGCTTTCAGATAATTCCTTAAATTATTTTAAAATGATTTGCTTTTCCCTTGTATAGCCCCATCTTAATCTACTAATAAATAAAGAAATAAAAATTAAAAAAGGTGCCCATCTGAATCAATAACTGGGCATATCTTACGTTTCACTTTGCTCTGCCTCAAAGAATGAGCAAACTCCATTTCCTGCAAGGTGTAAACAAAGTTTATCAAGAAGCAGTTAGATTCATAAGTGCAAAATGTAACATGAAGACTAGTATAGTAATTAACCTCCAGATGACACGGAGAAAGAACTCCTTCCAATTTCTGGCGGGGTCCCGTAAGTGCATCATCTCATGGTCTTCGCGAAAGCTATTGAAAAAATTTCGAGCTGAAGATTCAAACATAGGTATCAATAGTAAGTTCAACATACTTGCCGCATAAATGGGCTGATTTGCACAGCATACAACCTAAGGCACAAAATAGTTTGAAACATATCAACTCTGAATCATACCTTCTTGAATATGACCTTTTGCCACAAGATCCATGAAACAATGGACAAATACTGGATAGAGGGCACAGATTAACTCATGCTGCATTGTTACAGTACAATGCCAAGTGAATATAAGTTAGGTATACTAGAAAAAGAACTTCATAAAGTGATAAAAATAACTTAGCTTTTATTGGATTCAGAAGGTCACAACATTAAGTTTTGATCAAATCAATAGATGACACAGTCGGATTATTGAACTAAATAAAATAAAATCGATGAACAATCTGTATCTGCAAGGGTTAACTATGCCATATTCAGGTGAAATGAAATTGTACAGCTGTTGCAATATTAGGAATTTAGGAAACAATTTCTGAGTTGGTTAAATAAAAGTCCAAAAAGTTATTGTGAAATAAAAGTTCAATAGTTTTAACCTTTGTTACATAGACTCTTCTAATAAATTTGTAACAATGCAGCATGAGTTAATAATTAAACTAAATCATATAATGATAAATTTGTTTCCCAAAAAATTCATGTCCCAAATTTTTTGTAACAAAAAATTAAATGCCATTAGCATATACAAACTAACAATTAATGCGCCAAAATAAACAACTCACAACAGTCAACCAAACAAATGAAAAAATAAGTTTTGAGACCCATACCTCCTCAACTCAGGCCATGGGCAATTTAGTCGGAGATCATCCCAAAAATGATCAGGCTTTGACTCAATCACAGTATGTTCCTGCCTCAAAGATGCAAAGTAGAATTACCACCTCTAGCTCTGTGGAAAGTAAGTCTGGTATTTTCTTCTAAACTTAATTTCTACTATGGTGTTTCTTTCAATTCAAACAATCTTGATTGACATCCCACCTCACCCTTGTGGGAAGAGCAAAGAAATTTTTAAAATAACAAGCCCACAAGAAATCTGTGATTGTTAAAAAATTAAAACAAAAATATTAAAATTTGATAGTGTGCTCATCCTTGTTAAGCCTCCGATTTTTATTTTGTAGCCACTACCATCCTAATACTAACTTTTCCAAAATGCCAAGTTAATAAATTTAACCCAAATATATACATGTATATACATTTTAAGGTCCATTACCTTCACACTGATCCGAACAAACCCTGTGAGGCCATACGAGTGTGCAAATACCAACATGACATTTGCTTCCCGACAGATTCTATCCAACTTCACCATTGAATCTTCAGCTAGCTGATAGTGTAATACGAGCATCCCCATTGAAGAGGAAAATTTGAGAGGAACCAAAAAAAAAAAAAAGGCAAATTACTAATCATACAAAACAGTGTATCAAGGAGCGGGAAAGCCATCAAGGCACCAAATAAGAACCTATTATTCCATTATATATCAGTATCAAATTTGAAAAGAAAATGATCAGATTTATGGACAATCAGATATAGAATTATATCACACTGTTACGTTTATGATCATTATTCATGCTAATATGTTATTTTTCATTATCAAAGAATGAATAATAATATTTCAATGTCAAAATAGCAGATCAAGGATGGACAATGAGTCACTTTCTTTTCCTCCGATTCATGTGTGTGTGTGCACACTCTTTGCATGTACAATGTCAACCCACTGGTCTAAATTAATAGCAATGTTAACATGTACACAGCATAAAATCACAATACCATTTGTTGTTGATCAAATAATAATAATAATAATAAATAAAATAAAATCACAATACCGCCAACTAAAAGGAAACAATAGAACATTAAACCCAACATATATATCAAATCCTACAAGTTCATAATGTTGTCAAAAAAATATGAAGAATTTTATAATTTCTTTTAATTTTTTAAATCTGGAGGAGTCAATACATGGTTGACTGGCTCAAAAATCGAACACACACACACAGAGCCAGAGCCAGAGCGAGAGAGAGAGAGAGAGAGAGAGAGAGAAAGAGAGAGATGGAACCTGGAACGGCTTGATAGGCATTAGCATAGGGTTCAGAGGCGCCGGGGAGAGGAACAGGTTGAGGGAAGATGGCGGGCTGAGGATGAGGAGGAGGAGAAGGAGGAGGAAGGTAGTTGGAAACTCCCTGGAAGGTTCTGTAGTGAGGTTGAGGCGGATCGGCGCTGGCGACTCCTCTCTCCTTCCCCCCTTCACCCATCATTTCTTTTCCCCAAAATACACTAAAAACTTCTGGGGTTTCTTAGATGATAAGTGAAGAAGATGATGACCAAGATCACGCCCTAGTCTGCCGCCACTCGTAGTTGTCTGTTGCCGCTCGCCACAGAGAGAGAGAGAGAGAGAGCCATAAGAGGAGATTAGGGATTTTTGGTTTTTAAGATTGGGAATTTTTGGTTGAGGAGGGAAAACCGAGCGGGAATGGGAAAAAAGAGGATAATCCTCGTTTTTTTTTTTTTTTTTTTCCGTCACTAATAAATAATTTAGTGGCGTTTTCTCAAAAAACGGCACTTTTTTTTTTTTTTTTTTTTTTGCGACGGGACTTGTCGTTGCTAAAAACTTTATTTTTTGTTAAAATAATTTTTTTTTTATAGTTAATAAAAAAAATTTTATTTTTTATTTTTTTTTAGTTACAAAGGTTGAAAATTTATTTGTTTCATTTTTATTTTAATGATTTTTTTTTTTGTAGAAGTATGGGTAATATTTTAACGAAAAATATTTTTCGTTAAAATAAAGTTAATTTTTTTTTGTTAATGAAAAATATTTTTCTGCGGCCCATTTTTTTTTTTTTTTTGTTACTAAAAATCAAGAACTAATTTTTTGTGGTAGAAGAGAGGGAGTGGCAGTAGTAGTAAAGGTGGTAGATAAGAGGTGGTGGTAGTGGTGGTGGTGATGTTGATGGCGAAGGAGATTAGTGGTGAAGTTGTGGTAGTGGTAGAGGAGATGGAGTGACGGTGGTGGAGGAGAGGTAATGGTAGTAGTAGTGGCAGTAGTAGTAGCGATGGTAGTGGAGTGGTGGCAATGGTGGTAGTAATAGTAATCGTAGAGGTGGAGTGACAACAGTGGTAGTAGTGGTGGTAGTGGAATGACATTTGCAGTAGTAGTAAATGTGGTAGAGGAGATGGGTGATAAGAGAGAGAGATGAGTGAGAGACAGATAGGGAGACAGAGGGAGAGAGAGACAAAGTGATGAGCGAGAAAGAGACAAAGTGGTCGCTAAAAGTGCATTTTCTTGTAGTGGATCAATAAATCGAGAATGAGCTCAATAAATAGAGATGATATGAGGGAGAGAGTGAACAAGGCAAACACAGTGAGGGAGAGGGAGAGAGAGAAAGAGATAGACAGACAAACAGATAGGTAGACAGAGAAAGAGAAGAGTGATGAGTGAGAGAGATAGTCAAAGACAGAGAGAGAAAGAGATAGAGACGACAAGGAGAGAAAGAGATAAAGAGAGAGAGAGACAGAAAAAGAGAGAAAAACAAGAGATGGGCAAGAGATAAACAAAAAGAGAAAAAGAAAACGAAAAGAGATTAACAAGAGAGAGAGAGAGAAAGAAAAAAAAAAGACAGAGAGAGAAGAGAGATGAACGAGAGAGACAGAGAGATAGAGAGAGAGACAAAAGATGAGTGAGAGATAGACAAAGAGATGGAGAGAGAGACAAAGAGAAAAAAAAGAGCAAAAAGAGATAAACGAGAGAGAGACAGAGAGAGATGAGCGAGAGAGATAAAGAGGGGAACGAGAGAAAAGAGACAGAGAGAGAAGAGAAGTGGACGAGAGATACAGAGAGAGAGAGAGAGAGAGAAACAGAGAAAAGTAATGAGTGAGAGAGAGAAAGAGAAGAGAGACAAAGACACAGAGAGAAAGAGAGAAAAAGACAGACAAACAAAGAAGAGTGATGAGTGAGAGAGAGACAGAGATAGAGACAGAGAGACAAAAAGATAAAAAATGGGTGAAAAGAGAAATATTATATCAAAAGAGTAAGACGACAAAAAAAATTGTGACAAAAAAATACCATTCAATGTGTTTGGTTTGAGTTTTCTGAATTAAGTTTTTTGAAAACTGAGTTTTTGATTTTTGTGTTTTTTTTTTTTTGTTTTTAGTGAATATTTTTAAAATTTTAAATATTTTTTTTACTTTTTTAGATGCACCTTATTTAGATGTATCTAAAAAGTAAAAAAATTGCGAAAAAATATTTTAAAAAATTAAGAAATACATAAAAATACAAAAAATATACTGAATTCTTGTATTTTTGTTGTATTTTTGGTATTTAGTGAATTTTTAAAAGATTTTTTTTACTTTTTAGGTGTATTTATGTTAGGTGTGTCTAAAAAGTAAAAAATTTGCATAAAATATTAAAAAAAATCAGTAAAAACAAAAAAACACGAAAAATAAAAAAGTAGAATTTTCTGAAAATTATTTTTAGAAAATGGGAACCAAGCAAGCTGATTGCATTTATTTAAACCATTTTGTGACTATATATATATATATGAAGCCATCTCAAAGCCACAATATATATATATATATATTACTCTTTTTTTTTTTTGCAACGGTATCTATTACAGTCGCAAAAAACTCTTCTTTTTTTTTGTGACTGCAGCTGGTGCCGTCGCAAAAACTCTATTTTTTTGCGGCAACAATCTCTGCTGTCGCAAATACTTTATTTTTTTTGGAACAGCAATTTCTACCGCCGCAAATACTCTATTTTTTGTGACAGCAAGTTGTGCCGTCACAAAAAGTCACTTTTTTCGCGACGGCAAGTTGTACCGTGTCAAATAGTCAAATTTTTTTTGCGACGGCAAGCTATGCCGTCTCAAAAAGGCACATTTTTCGCGAAGGCAAATTGTATCATCTCAAAAAGTCACCTTTTTTTTGCGGCGACAAGTTATGCCGTCGCAAAAAATGACTTTTTGGGACGACAAATGTACCGTCACAAAAAGTTTCGTCTTTTAAGCCCACTTTTCTTGTAGTGAAGGCAACAATAATATTCTTTATCTAATTCAAAAAAAAAAAAAAAAACTTGCTCACTCTCATTTTTTCTCTTTACATCATTGAGTTTAAAAAATATGTATAATTTTTGAACTAAAATAGCAATGTCCTTCTAAATAAGGTTGAGTTTGACCTATATATCTTCTCTTGGATCCATATAAACAGCTGGCACACAAGGGATAGACGTTCATGGATCCAATCAGTTCTATTTTGTTGCGGTTAATCATTTAAAGTTTTTTGGGTTTTGATATTCATAATCAAAAGAATGGCAAAATAGAAAATTTATATTATTTTTGTACTTGATTTTTGAAGAGGGACTAATATTTTGGGACAATGAAAAATGGAATAAATGACTAATATTTTGGGACGGAGGGAGTATAATTTTTGAACTAAAATAGCAATTTCCTTTTAAATAAGGTTGAGTTTGACCTATATATCTTCTCTTGGATCCATATAAACTGCTGGTACACAAGGGATAGACGATCATGGATCCAATCAGTTCTATTTTGTTGCGGTTAATCATTTAAAGTTTTTTGGGTTTTGATATTCATAATCCAATACCTGCCATTATATAGTATTTATCTAGATGTGCTCATCTTTATATAAACAAAAAAAAAAGAAAAAAAATTATTAGCCATGATTTTCTAAAAAATTGTTGAAAATAATATGACCATGAAATTGTTTTGTAGAAAATAATATAGCTAAAATCATTTAATGACATTGATTTTCAATATATGTGGTCTTCATAATATGACACACAAAATAGTAATCTTTCAATTTTTTTTTTTTTTTAATTTATTACAATTATACATTGCCGCACATACACGGATGATAATTTGTTGCCTCAGTCCGTCCAAATAAAAAAAATGAGAAGGGGACAGAATTTGATTTTCTTGACTATCATCTCATTCCGTCCAAATAAAAAGATGGGAGGGGGACAAAATTTGATTTGATTTTTTTTTGTTTTTATCTCTTTTTTTTGGATCTCTTTTTATCCCGCGGTGCCCCTCTTATGATCATATTTTTTTCTCTTTTTTTTGGATGTGTAATGACTCATTTATCTGCCACATTTAAATGTGATATTTGAAAAAAGTACACTAAAAAAATTTTTAGTGTCACATCATACCTGCCACGTTAGAGTGTCACATTTGAAAGAAGTACACTAAAGAGTTTTAAATTTTTTTATAGTGTCACATCATATCCACCACGTTGGAGTGTCACATGTTACGTTTGAGAAAAGTACACTAAGAAATTTTTAATTTTTTTAGAGTGTCATCATATCTGTCACGTTGTCACGTTTGAGAAAAGTACACTAAGTAATTTTTATTTTTTTGTAGTGTCACATCATACCTGCCACGTTGTTACGCTTGAAAAAAGTACACTAACGAGTTATTAATATTTTTAGAGTAAAAGTTTTAGAATGTCACATCATACTCGTCACGTTGTTACATTTAGAAAAAGTACACTAAGGAGTTTTAATTTTTTTGGAAGTGTCACATTGTTGGAGTTAGGGGCGCAACTTGGATGGGCTAAACCCGAGCAACCCCGAACCCAGCCTGAATTTTTTTAGGACTTGGACAAGATATTTTCAAATTCGGTATAGGTTTGGACAAAAATTCAAAAGTTCGAATTAAATTTGGACAGGCTTGGGCAAAGACGTTAAACAACCCGAGCAACCCGAAACCTGAATTATACATATATAGATATATTAAAATATTAAATATACATATCAATTATTAGCCATTACATGATATTAAAGTAATTTAGATTATTAAATCATATTGAATATATATTATATATACAAATAACATAAAATCTTACTTTTTTTTTATTTTCACTTATAAATTATAAAGACTACTATAGTGACATCTTTCTTAAATTATATAAATTATTTGTTTTTATGGTATTAATGATTTTCTATATAAAAAAATGTAAATAGAGTCAAATTTTAATAATTTAATAATGCAGCTGCAAAAAAAAAAAAAATGAAATTCATCTACAATTCAAATAATTCGGGCAACTCGGGCAATTCAGATTTAACTCGAGTTGGGTTTGGGTAGGCAACTTCGGGTTACAATTCAGTCTTGGACGGCCCTGGATAGGTCTCAACACAACTTGGACTAAGCTTGGACAACTTTCTAACCCGACCGAACCAGCCTGAGTTGCACCCCTAGTTGGAGTGCCATATTAATACCTGTCACATTAGAGTATTATATCATACTTATTACATTAATAAAAGGATACAACTGTATAGCAAAACACTACCAAAATAAAAAATAAGATCACACGGAAATAAACTCTCCACTAATAAGACTTAACAGATCAATAAAAAAAATTGAACTAATTAAAATATTTATTTATGAGATAAAATTTATTGATAAATATCCCTTAAAATACCAAAGTATTCATATAGAGCTCTCATTTTTTAATATTTTCAACAAACATCACT